TTTTTTTTTTTTTGTTCATCTTACGATTTAATTCCTTTTTTTTTCTTCTTCTTCTTTTTTATTTCAGGTTATTTAGTTACCGTTTATGTTAATTTCTTCTCCCTCCCCCCCCTCCCTATTCCCCTACTCCTCGCCTACTCCAACCATTTGTTTCTGACAATAAGAGATATATGTTAATTCTAATCTGTAACGTCGTGTTACTTTGAAATTACACGTATTTAAGTATCTTGTAACAATACGTTTCACGAATAACGTAAAATCCGACACACTATACGCATAGACGATTTATTATTGTATTCAGGGTAAAAGAAATATCGTATTAATCGTAAATACGTGGAAAAAAAAAAAGTAACGTAAGTATAATATTTGAGCAAGAACTTTGAATTTAATTAAATCTATGTGTTTTCTTTTTTTTTTTTCTTCTTCCGTTCTCGTCGCGCGTTTTAATCAAAACCACCACACGGGTTTATATAAGAAGAAAATAGATATATTAATTTTTTGTTTTGTTTTGTTTTCATTTCGTTAAGTGAAAAGCAATAAGATATTTAAACAGGATTTATTTGAGAATAATTTGAAACGATAGAATTAATTTGATTGAGTTGACAGAACGTATTTACTTCGTAAATCATTCATGATTTCTATACCAATCGTGATTATTCGTTGAAACGATCATCCATGTTCGAACTTAGCAGGATTATATCGAGTTTCTCCCTTAAGCTTTGGTCAAACTTTCCCGAAAGGTTAGACTAATCGATATTCGATGTATCGTGTTGTATATGAATATTGTAAATAGCTGAAGATGAAGAGGTTACAGGAGGGGGAGAGAAGAGGGATAGAATTTCAGATCATATTATGGTTGTCATCAAATTATAAAGAATCAAAAAATAATTTCAACAACAAACGGACAAATTATATAAAAACGTGAAAACAGAATATTTTTATTATTCAGTCATATCTCGTAATTTTTAATCATAGATTTTTTTTTTTGTTTTTGTCTTTTTTTTTATGTATATATATATATATCGTCGTTGACAGAATTTTCATATGGGGGAAGAAAAAAAGAAGAGAAAAAAAAAACTAAAAAAGAAGGTACAAAAAGAAAAGGGGGGAGGAAAATAAAAATTAACATAAGTGGGCCGAGGAAAGTTGAAGAAAAAAATAAAAGAAAACAAACCTCACGCACGTTTTTTGTTGTACATTTGAAGACTCGAAATAATTCTTCGTTCTCTTTTTTCACAAACTTTGAGTTCACCTTTTTTGTTCTTTCTTTCTTTCTTTCTTTTTTCTCTTTTCTTTTTTTCTATTTTACATAAGTAGATTTTTTACTTGCGTTCTGTTTTATACTCGGAATAATTTGTTGTTCTCTTTCGTAAATACGGACAAAGGATTTGGATGGCTCGTAAGTTTAGAACAAATAACAAGAAATGAAAAGGAAAAATTGTAAAAGAATGCACGTTACTCGTTTAAAATCCATTCTAAGGAGACTAGTAGGCGTGTTCTCGAAACGAAAACTCAAAAGGTTTAGTTTGTTTGAAAAGGTTTAGGTTGTCTGAAAAGTAATTTCGTTTTTTTTTTTTCAATACACAAAAGATTTCATTTTTAAAATCGAAAGGGATTTTACACGATTGCAAATTTTCACATTTCATTAATCCAACTTGTTAATTATTTTTTGCGTTGTTATTCGACAATTACAAATGTTTCTTGCTACAATGGCAAAATGACTAACGAAATTTCTGTACGTAAAATAAAATTACTTTACGAACAATCAATTATTTATACCTATGTAGATAAAAATAATTCATATGTGAATCATTCTAAAATCCAAAACGATTAACATCATTTTTTAAACAATTTTAATAAAAGACAAATATATATTACCGTAGAATTTAATTTTGTCTTTTTAATAAAAATATTCTTATAGTAAGGATAGCATTTAAAAAACAACAAAACAATTTTGGTAATTAAATAATAAATATTATAACAACGTATGTAATTTTTATTCATTTTCTTTAACGTTTTTATTTATTTCGTTGAGTTAATCGATTTGGTGAATGATAATATACAAAATATCGATATACGCCTACTTTTATTCGTGAATTATTCGAACATTAACGAAATTATCCTTTTACTTTGAATCCTTATCAAACGTAAAAGGAAATTCGTCTAAGCGTTATATAAAAATTTCTTTTCTTTCCTTAAAAACTCGAAATATAATTAAGAGAAAGAAAGAGAGAGAGAGAGAGAGAGAGAGAGTTAAAATAAAAGGTAAATAAAAACAAGGCTCGCAGTAAAAAATTATTTAATTTAAAGAAACGAAATAAATAAAGATCGCGTTCGTGATATTCGCGTGGTACTTTACAAAATTATTAATTTACAAATTAATTAATTATCCTTCTTTTTTTGTTCCCCTTTTAATTATTACATCCGTCTCTACTTTTCATTGTTTTCTTCCTTTTTTTTCTTTTTATCATTCATATTTATTCATTTATTTATTTATAATATTATATTTTTTTTTTTATTTCATTTCATTTATCACTGTGGCACGTCTCTCGTTCTGCGTTTATAATTTTAAATACGCATAGAAAAGGAACAGATAAAGAATAAAAAGAAATTACATATCTGTGCTACATGTATACTATATTACTATAAAAAAAAAAGAAAAGAAAAACACATGAATTATTATTACAACTATGGTTTTTAGGAAGTGGTATCACCGCGCAGCTCGACGAAAATAATCGAATCTCGTCGCGTATATTTAATTACATTTAATCATCCTTTTTATTTATTTATTTATTTATTTAATTTCTGTTTTTCGTTGTGTTGGAAAACGTCGTGACGCGACGTTGAGAAAAAAATAACGAACGAACGCATGCACGCAAGCACGCACGCAAGCACGCACGCAAGCACGCACGCATTTAATTACTTAGAGTAAAAAATTATCATACAAGACTACTCGCGCATCGTACAAAACTATCGATTTCGGGGGTTTGGGGGTGGGTGGGTGGGTGGCTGTTGGGTATAATCGGTTTCTATTATCGATCCATAGATCGCGAATTCGGAATTTTGTAATTCGCGAAAAATAGCAACGTGATAGTATTTACAACGAAATTTTTATATCTAACTATAGCAAGTTATCTTTCTTTCTCTTTCCCTCTCATTGTCAGAGAGAGACATACACACATGCACACACAATCGTACTCATTCATATACTTTACAAAGAATAACTTTCTTTCTTTTTCCATCTCATATATATATATCTCTCTCTTACTTTCATTAACGACGGAAAAAGCACCGTAATTCAATTCTCGCATCCTCTCACTCTCTTCTTATGTACAAAAACAACGAACGTATTTTATCATGCTAACATATACACCTACACACATACACGCACACGTACACACACGCACGCAACTTCTTCATTCCGTATATTATTTATATATCGCATATATTTCTACATAACGTTAACGTTTATCGTTTATACAAGCTCGCTCGTTCGCGAATCATAATTATTATTTACACTCTCTATTGCACGGCACAAGAGAAAAAAAAAAACAAATGAAAAGGAAAAAAAAAACAAAAAAAAGAGAGAAAAAAATTATATCGATGAGAAACACACACAGAATCATTTAGTTATTTATAATCGCACTAAAGGATCACCATGAGAGAAGATATAGTTTTAGGAGAAGAAAGGAAGGAAGGATGGTTCTTCGAAGTAGTTTATGGTTGAAATGTTTATATGTGTACGGAAACCGTGCGCGAACCATTGGACGTTCTGTTGTTGTGCTGCCGTCGGACCGGTGGCGGTTGTCTACTTCTTTGCGTGGTCCTTTGATTGTTAGGTACATCCGGCAACGCGAATCTTAGCTTTTCCCAAAAGAGCTTGTCGCCCCATTGTAGATAAGTGTTGGTTTTTAAGTATAAACGTATGTCCGGGTCTAAATCACGTTGGTGTACGTCACCGACTAGTACGAGGATCAACCTACGTCTTCGATCCCTGAGTACTTGATGATGAGCCGATTTAAAATCGAATCTACACCATTCGGACTTGATGAAATTTTCGGATAATACCATGATAGTCCGTCGCGATGATTCGACCGCTTGCACGATTGTATCGGCTATGAAACTTCCAACAGGGAAATCACGATAATGTAAGCAAAGTTTGTAAGAAGGGTTCCCCATCTCTAGGACAGGCGCCAATTCCTCGGCTACGAATGCCTCGTCCTTCGAGCTGTAACTGACGAACGCGTCGAATAATTTATCTCGATCATCTCTATCGACCTCGTGATTTCTGTAAAAGATTCGTACGCCGAAACGCGAATGAAACCACACCCGTAATTCTTGACGAAAAATAAATGCCAGCATGCATAATAACATGATCACCAATGAACTGGCCAATGTGGCAACTAACAACGGCAAATAATCTTGAAGAATTTGTTTTTCGATAATAGTTTTCGTATAATTTCTATGCACTTCGTTGTCTATCGCTACAGCACCGATACACGAGGAACTGACACTGACGTTACTACTACTACTACTACTACCACCACCGTTCGTGTCGCGATCTTCATCGATAGTCGTCGTTACGGCAAAACCAAACTCGTCGTCTGTAAATGTCTCGTCGCCGTATGCCTCGAACTCTGTGATATTGTAGACGCAACGTAACTCGGAAGCATCAGTTACGCGAATGTCAGGCTCGCGTAACCATTCGCGATAACTTTGAAGATAGTCGCACTCACAGGACCACGGATTAGCCGATAGGCTGACCTCGATCGACGAGGGTAACGTCCAGATCGGCAGAGTAATAAGCCGGTTACTCTGAAGTTTGAGCACTCTTAAGGAACGTAACGGCACGAACGTGTCGTTGCCGATCGAGCCGAGTTGATTCCGTTGAAGATGCAGCTGCTTAAGAGCGTCCAATCCCTCGAACTCGTGTCCCCGTAACTCACGGATCCTGTTGTCCTGCAAGTGTAGATCCTCGAGGTCGCGCAGCCCGTTGAACGACCTGTTCTGCACGATCTCGATGTTGGACGAGTTCAGAAAGAGGACTTTCAGCTTCTTACGACCGATGAAAGCGTGACTGGACACGACGCGAAGATCGTTACCGTCGAGGTAGAGCCGAGTTGCGTCCATCGGTATCTGTTCGGGCAGTTTGTTTGTGTGCCCTCCGTTCGAGCAGTCTACCACGTTAGCTGACCAGGATTGATCGTGATAGCAAGTGCAGTTAACCGGGCAGGTCATTTCGCAGTCGCAAGCATCGAAGTCGCAACAGTGACAGAGAGCGAAACAGTGGGTCTCGTATTTGCAAAGGAATTGGGAATGCGATGCCTCGACCAACGGGACGAACGCGTGTTCGCGATCGTAGAGAAGTTTGCAGTATATGCTCTCGAGGTCCATCACTTTCGGTTGAACGCGCGTTTGGTTTTGACGGTTAACCCGTTGCAACCATTCCATCGTACAGTCGCACAAATACTGGTTGTCACCGATGTAGAACTCCGGTAAGGGTTTCTCCGATGGTACCGCGCTGATGCGTAACGCGTACGGCTCGAGGTTCCTTATCTGATTGCCTTTCAGGTCGACCCGCGTTAAATTCGGCTTCTTGAAGAAAGAGTAACTCTGCACCTTAGATATGAGGTTGTCGTTGAGAAAGAGCAATTCGACGCTCATCGGTATCGCGTTACCGGTTATCTCCGTCAGCTTATTCTCGCTGGCATCGAAGGTAGTCAACCGTAATTGACTCTCGATCTCGAAGTAATTTCCTAGCTCGTGTATTTCATTGGAGTGTATATCGAGCCACTGCAGTCCCGTAGGTATCATCGCGTAATCGAACCACTTCAATTTATTGTCACTGACGTTGAGCCATATGAGATTCGGTAGATTGGTGAAGAGCCCTGCGATGTCGGTCAACTGATTCCCGTCGAGACGTATCGCCTGGAGATTGAGATTCTCATCGAACGTGCCCGGCTCGATGTACTGTATACGATTCATCGATAGATTCAAGATCTTCAATTCTTTGATACGATCGAAGATGCCCTTGGTGAGATTACCGATGTGATTCTCGGTCAACCGAAGACCGTAGAGTTGTACCACGTGGTCGAAGGTACCACTCGGTATCTCGGAAATGAGATTCTCTCCGAGGTCGAGAGTACGCAAGAGGGTAGTGGCTTTCAAAGCGTCCGGCACCGATGTCAGTCGATTACCGTTAAGATGAAGGTCATGGAGAGACGAGGCGTTCCTCAGAGAGCTCGGATGTATCGTATGTATTCTGTTGTTGTCGAGGGATAGCAAGCTCAAAACGTACAACCCACTGAGCGTTGTGGCATCTATGACGGTCAATCTATTGTCACTCAAAAGTAACGTATGCAAATTGTAAAGCGCGGAAAATGTATTCTCCGGTAAACTTTCCAACAGATTCTCCTGTAGCCGTAAAATTTGTAAACTGTAAAGATCACGAAATACCGTTGGATCCAATCGAGTTATCCTATTGCTCGATAGATCCAAAACGACCAGTCTGACGAGACCACCAAAGGTCGCAGCGTTGACCCATTCGACCGTTAGTTCGTTGCGCGACAAATCCAACACCATTAATTGCGTTAGCTCGCCAAACAGACCGGGCGGTAGGACGTTCAACGTGTTGTTTCTCAGGTGAATCTCTTGAATACATCTGGCGTCGCTGAAGAGCTCGGGGGGTAAACTGGATAGACGATTATCGGCGAGTTTCAAGATGGCCAGGGAGGAGAGGCCCTCGAAAGCACGATCCGCCATAAAGCCTATAGCGTTGCACCGTAGATCCAAGCTGTGTAATCTGGTCAAACCGGAGAAGGCGGCGGTAGGCAATGACTCGATGCTGTTGTTGCTAAGATCGAGTTCTTTCAAACTGGACAAGCACTTGCTGATGGCATTGAAGCGGAAACTCGTCACCTCTCTCAAACGATTCCTCGTCAAATTAAGAATTTCCAAGTTGACCAAAGGGCAGAGCGCACCTTCCGGTATATTCCACATATTGTTTTCACCCAGATCGAGCTTTTCTAATTGCCGTAGCTCGTCCGTGAATGCACCGGCCGAAACGTCCAATGTCATTGCTGACCAGTCGGTGTTGTGAGTCCTAACGGTCAAATTACGCAACTCCCTGAGACCTTTGAACGCGTCGTCCGAGAGATTACCTATCTTGCAATACTCGATTACGAGTTCGCGAAGTTCGACCAACGGCCTGAAGCTACCGGCGGTCAGGGAACTTTGATAAAATAGAGCGTCGCTGCATTCGAGCCGCAATCTAACCGTATGCTGTGGTTGTATCACGCTGAAATTCGTGTTCTCCAATTCGCTGTTGATCGTCCTCAAACGACAGACCAAAGAAACATCGTTCTCGGCATCACCCGCGGTCACCCATTTGCACTCGTCCGGCGCTTTGTACCTCAAAGCTTTGCTGAGAGACGCACCGAGGACGCCAAATATCGTGCCGAGTAATATGGCGAAGAAGGCAGGACTACCCCGCATCTTTTCGCCGTTCCTCCACCTTCTCAATAATATCCCATGAAATTTTTATCAACACCACTCCTGGTATAACACACTATATTAATAATATATCCAATTCTAAGGATGCACCCGCGTCAAGTCACAATACCCGCACCACCGATCCATCTAAAACCACTATTCTTTTTTTTTTTTTTTATATTCTATTATTATACTTTGTTATTCCAAAAACGTTGGTAAACCTTTATCGATACACAAGAGACACCCCCGTCTCCGAGTAAAATGAACACACTCCTGTAGACAATATACACACTTCACTTATTTCATATTACATCTAACAACTTATCAATCTATATATGTTATTTATTATCTCTGCTCGTTTTACGACATTTTCATTGAAACCAAAAGAACATCACTGCAACAGCAGCAGCAGCAGCAACAGCAGCAGCAGCAACTTCGTTCACTCGACATTACGTCTGCGTTGTAACAAGGAACGAAACGTACCGTAAAGAAATTCCACGGGCCGCGGAGTTCACTGATCTCTAAAGTTATCGACTTTCTCGGCTAAGAAGAAGAAGAAAAACAAGAACATGTAGGAAGAATAAGAATAAAAATAAGACAAAGAAGATAAAGAAATAGAAATAGAATTAGAAGAAGAAGAAGAAGGAGCAGAATTGTGCCGAGCCGAATTAAGTAGAAGATGAGAAAGAGAAGAAAATAGTAGTCGCGGGCGTCGACGCGCGTGTATACGGCTCTGGCAAGACCCGCGGTTCTCCGAGAACTGGTTGGCAAGTTGTAAGGCCCAAGCTGGCTCCTCCGCTCTCTTACCTCGCCCCTCCGGTCGCCCTCCGGCCCTCAACAGTTCCCCCGCTTCTTCCCCGACCCCTTTCGTATCCATCGCAGCCGGCCTTCCTTCTCCCACCTTTCTCGTTTACTCTCGGTCTCTCCTCCTTTTACTCTTTCTCCTTCTTTTCCTCGTCTCCTTCTTCTTCTTCATCTTCTTCTTCTTCTTCTTCGTCCTCGTCGTCGCCGTCGTCGTCGTCGTCGTCGTCGTCGTCGTCCTCCGTAGCCAGGACCCGACGTTCTGGCAAGCCTATAAAAACAAGACAGGTACACTCTCCGGGCCCTTACAGTGGCTCCTCAGCATCTGCAGCCTCCATCCACCACTACGTTCTTATTTCCTTGTCCCGCCTTCTTCTTTTCATCGTCAGACTCCGTCCCTTTCTATCTTATTCTCTTCTTGCCCCTACCCCTTCCTAAACCTCCTACCTTTTTCTTTCTCTCTCTCTTTCTTGCTCTTATACAGTTTCCTTCTTCTCTTTCTCTTTCTCTTTCTTCTTCTTCTTCTACTTCTTCTTCTTCACGGTTCGCACAATCCTTCTTCTCTCTTTCAGAAGGAGCACATCGATACGTCCCTGCAACCTTGCCCTCCTGTCATCTCTTCTCTCACATCGTTTCTACGATTCTGTCACGAGAGAATGGAATCTCGAAAGAGGATGTTTGCTTAATGCCTTTGTGCGAATATTATACCGTTCGCGAGTGAACCTAAGAAGAAAATTTCCTCGTTCGATCATTTGTATGTTTGCCTGCCTGGACACTCCTCCTACCTCTTTTCACCTTTCTTTCCTCTTTAACCTCATACCCTTATTCTACCTCCCCACCCTTTCTTCTTATTTTTATTCTTATTCTTCTTGTCATGTGTCATATCTACTACACTCAACACTTTCTTATTTTCTTTCTTTTCTTTTCTTTTCGTTTCGTTTCGTTTCTTCTTTTTTTATTATTTAACATTGAAAATTATTCAACTACTTCCTTTGCAATCATAATCCTTAGTCCTTTAACGTATTTGCTCCCGTGTATATCGACGAGTTCTTCTTCCAGGACGTTGAATATCCGCGAAACTGGAAACGAATAATTTTTCTAGACGTTCTCTTCTTCTGCTTTCTTCTTCTTTACTCTTCTTCTTCTTCTTCTTCTTCGATCGTCGAGATAAGCCGAGACACGGCGATCCCTCGTTCTCTCTCTCTCTCTCTCTCTCTCTCACTCTCTTTTTCTGTTTAATGCGCGCGCGCGCGCACTCGGTGCTTGCTTTTATTTCGTCGGAGAGTTTCTCTTCGCTCGTGGAATCGAGTTTGCGGAGGATCGAGAGAGTGATTCGTCGATTTTACAAGAAAATACCTACGACGACGACGAAGAAGAAGAAGACGAAGACGAAGACGACCATCATCCCGTTTTCCATGTTTTTTCTCAGATATTCTTTATTTCTTATCCATGTAAGTTCTCCTTCTCTTCATCGAGACGCCTCCTCCTTCCTCATATATGCGCGGAAAGGATTTTTCTTTTGTTTGAAATTTTCTTCTTTCTTTCCTTCCTTCGTTCCTTTTTATGTTAGACGAACCCCCATCGGTAACTTTATTCGAAGGTTCGTCGTACACTTACCGGTTTGCAGACTCCACGTTCAAGGTTCCTCTTCTTATTCTTCTTCTTATTCTTCTTCTTATTCTTCTCGGCCATTGTCTTTAAAGGTCTGTTTGCGATTCACGCATTCTTCTCTTATTGAGTGTGAAACGATCCGGCGCATTGTGTCAGGAATCGTGTGTAAGGACACGTCAAGTGGTTCCCCATGGAGAAGCCGCCGCCGCCGCCTCCTTTCAGAAAACCGTACCTCGTAGTTCCGCCTCTCGTCGTTCAAAAGTGATTTGTTACCTTTACCTGCTCAAAGTAGGGGTCTGCATTGGCAGCGGGCACCCTTCTTCTTCTTTCTCTTCTTTCTCTTACTCTTTTAAAGACATCGTCGTTTCGCCCTGATTTATCTAACTCGAAAGCTTCTACTACGCTACTACTAACACACATAACACGAGTTAAGTATTAGGGTTTGATTACTTGACAAAATTGCCATCCTTTTCCTTCGAGTTATCTTCCAAATTTCTTCTTTTCATACAATCATTATTATTTTGTAAGCGTAATCCATGCGCCAATAGTTCAGGTAGAAATTCATTAAATAAATTAAATTTGTTTGAAATATTTATAGAGATATTGTTCGTGTCATCTTTTTAATGTGATGTTATAAGTTAAATCTAATTAATTATTTATTTTCAATGTAAAATGTTAATATAATTTTGTATTGATTTCTAAACATAACGTTAATCTTTGGCGTTACCTTTTTTCTACGAAGAAAATTTATTTTTAAAATATATTAACTATCTCTCTCTCTCTCTCTCTCTCTCTCTCTCTCTCTCTCTCTCTCTCTCTCGCGAATTATTTTTGTTTTGATAATATAATTTTATAGATTTCTAAAATTGGAATATTAATCGTTAAGACTCGTATGTAGGTTTATCTTTTTTTTTTCGTTTTTATACGAACGAACGAACCATCTTTTTTGAGTTTGGAGAGTCGTTGGAGGTTAATTTGAGAGTTCTCGAAGTAATATATGTATAAAGGAAAAAAGTAATAAAATAAAAGAAGAAAAAATGGTAAGAGGATAGAATCGTCGTCTTTTTACGATGCAATATCTTTCAGCACGAAGGAACATTTACGTCCTTCGCCAATTTTATGATCCTTAATTTCATCGGAAGATTCTCAAGTTGGTTGGTTGCTTGGGTTGTTGGCTAGTTAGCTATCTATAGTTCCGCAACAACGGATAAGAGTTTAGTATGATCTTAAGAGATAAGATTCTTTAGATCATCATATTTCTTTCGTAAGGATTGGTGTCGAGTGTCTGTCGTCGTAGTCGTCGATATAACGTACTCATCGAATTTCATTTGAAATCATCGACTGTGTGAGAAAAAGTAAGAGAGAGAGAGAGAGAGAGAGAGAGAGATAAATAAATATCCATTATATTCTCACTTTCAAGATCATTAACGGTGTAATAGAACGTAAGCTCGATGATTTTACATAGAGAATTACATTATCATTATTACGCTATTCGAACCAAGGTCGAACACTTTGAATTGATCGAACGTTACAGCATCGAACCTAACACCTTTCGCTTCGGTTAGTTACACCAACTGATTTCACGCAAACACATATAACACGTACCACGTTTACACGTGGTTTATAAACTCGTTCGTAATAATATTCCATACGTGTTATTTTTTTTTTTCTTCTTTTCTTTTTAATCTCTTCTTCGATCAAGTATGCAAGATAATTTATATTATATAATCATAATAGTAATAATAATAATAATTATTATTATTATTTTCTACGAATATATTTTTTTTATCATAGAGAATAACAATTCTAATCGGTTAGACAGATCTTGATTATTTTACATCAATTAAACTTTATATCTCGTTTTTTCTCATTAAACAACAACGATCACGACGACGAAGAAGAAGACTATGAACAATCCTACAGTTTTTCTGAGAAAGACTTTATCTCGTATGGTGTAGATTATTTCCGTTTCGCGTTATCATCTACGATTTTCTTCTTAAAACTTCTCACGTCATATTCGCTGAGTCGTTACGACGAAAAGTATTTATTTACGCATACAACCTAAAAACCGTTCGTTCGTATAACTTTAAACGAGAATATACATTCTCAAAATAATCTATCAGAGTTATTCCGGTGGAAAAAAATTAATATATATATATCCTTCTAAAAAGATTCTCTCTCTCTTTTTTTTTTTTCCTGTTTTTACATTTGAATAAAAATTAAAAATCTTCAAGAAAATTTATCCCCCATTGAAAACAAGTTAAATTGACCGATTCAATTCGTCTCTGTCAATAATTCGTTTGCTAAGTAACGTAAAAATATTTTTTCGATGTCCTATTGAAAACAAATTGTTGTATAAATCATTTCCTCAGATGGAAGAAAAAAAAAAAAAAAAAAAAAAAAAAAAAAAAAACAACTTAATAAATTCATCCATCCGATCGTTTCACAATATCAAATCGAAGACTATATTATATATATACTATATTCTTCTATCCTTCTCNAATCTTCAAGAAAATTTATCCCCCATTGAAAACAAGTTAAATTGACCGATTCAATTCGTCTCTGTCAATAATTCGTTTGCTAAGTAACGTAAAAACGGTCATCCGAACTTCTTAGGTAAAAATTTTCTTTCATCGACCAATTCGTGACAAATATTTAAAAAAAAAAAAAAAAAAAAAAAAGCAAAAGAAAAAAAACAACTTAATAAATTCATCCATCCGATCGTTTCACAATATCAAATCGAA